GAACCATTCCCAAGAATAGGCAGCACACTCCAAACCCCACCCCCTTCTCTCCCAGCATGTGACTGCATTTAACTGCCCCTGGGTTGAGAGAGAAGAGTGAGACCCAACAAGGAGAACCACTCCAGTGAGCACCCACCCCCCCAGTGGTGCTGCTTTGGGGGCTTCAGGAGGGGTGTGCTCAAGCCCACCCACTCCTGTGCCTCTGCCCACACTCATCATCCTCTCTGGACTCCTCCTGTGAGATGACACCAGAGTGCCAGCTCTCGAAGGACAAATTCCGTGCCAAAGACCCGCTGGTGTCCACTTCCCCTGATCGCATTTTCAGTCCCCACCCCCGACAGCCGCCAAAAGCCAGCCCTCCCCCCACCCCGCCTTAGGCGCCCTGTGAGTCAGCTCCCGGTGAGCAGGGCACAGACTTCCTCCCTCCCAGGCCTCCCTGGGGACACATGGGGCAGCAGCAGGCTCCCCCTGGCCAGCCAGGGTGGGGGCCCACATCCGGGCAGGCCCCCAGGGGCTCCAGGCCTGGCTCCTGAGGAAGCCTGCAGCCCATCCCCCATCACCGACCCCTGACGGGGTGGCGTGGGAGGAAAAATCTTCCAGCCATCTGCTCCGATGCCGGGTTTCCGGCCTGGGAGGGGCTGGGGGATGCCAGAAGGACCTGCTCTCCTGGGGAAGTGCCCCTTGCCCCTGCTGGGAGGAAAGACACTGGGCTGCTCAGCCCAGTGATGGCCAGTGGGACTCTAGAGCCTAGACCAAGGAATAATGGTCACCCAGGCACCAGGGCCCAAGTAAGTGGGTGTCCAGCTGTGGCCTTTGGACCTGCCTAGTCCCCTAGGGACCTCAGGCCCCCGGAAGCCAGGAAGCTGGGGCGCAGGGCTCCTGGGTCCAATTAGGCCTGACTCAGCGAGTGACCCCAGCTGAGTCACTTCCCCTGGGCGGCCTGCCCGCCTCAGTTTCCTCAGGGAGGACAGGAGCTGGGAACTGGGTCTGGCTGGGAAAGAGGAACTTGCATTACACCTCCAGACTCTTTGAGGCAGGCTTCTGAGGTCGGCAGGATGGAAGCGGCTTCCTGCCCCGCCCAGCCAAAGTGCTGGACACTAGGGGGTCCCCAAGGACGGTTTTCCCAGGAAACCTGGCAATTAAGTGCCAGGCCCCTCTGGGGCATTAACTAGGAGTAGCACTCACGCTTATTGAGCACTGACTGTATGCCAGGCACTGTGCATGCCTCTTCTCAAAACAACCTTATCTGTAGTCATTTGTACTCCCATATCATAAATGAGACCTGTGACTCAGAGAGGTTAAGGGACAAACCCAAGGTATGTAACACAGCTATAGCAATTATACCCAACATTCTGTGCCAGGATCATACACTTCGAATATGAGCTTACATTCGGCTCCTATACCCTGGAGAGAATGGGATTCTTGGCCCCCAATGGGCAGGTTAGACCCAGAGAAGTCAAGTAACTTGCCCAAGGCCTCACAGCGAGAAGCTGGCGGAGCCATTTGCTATCAGGGACAAGTGAGAACTTAATAAGAAAGGCCTCTCATTTAATAGTGCCACTTATTACTATCATCAGGTGCCAGGCCCAGCACTAAGTGCCTTATGTGCCCTGTCTCCACCACTCAAAATGTGTGGGATGGGCCCTAGAACAGGCAGCAGGAGGTCCCTCCAAGTGCCTTAAGCCCAGACCCTTTGCTGCCCTTGAAAAGGTTCCAGGAGGTAGTGTCCTGGGGTGGCACAGCTGAACCGACATCTAAGTAGCCCCATGGGCTGAACTACTTGAGGGCTACCCAGCGCCTGCTGGGCCCAGGCTACCACCGTATCTGGAGTGGTTCCCCGGAATCTGATTTGTATTAGAACGTTCTATGAGAGAAGGATCAGGGTTCAGAAAAATGGAGGTGGGGCGGGGAGACCCAGTAGGAAAACAAGCAGAGCTAACATCCACGACAAACAGGATAATACGAATCTCCCCGTTAGTACTGCTCCTGCTCCTGATCACCTTGTTCTAAACACTTGGTGAATTCCCTCATTTATTCTTCCAAAGACCCTAAGAAGTAGGTTCTATTATCAAACCCATTTGACATATGAGGAAACTGAGGCTGGATGGTTAAGCAAAGCTTTACAGCCAGGAAGCACCATGAGCTGATCCTGCCCAGGTCTTCAGAATTCTTCTCCCCAAGACTCAGGAAGCCCCAGAGCTGATCAGCGGCAAGAGCTCAATGTGTCAATTAATGAACATTCCACAGCCAGTAACAGAGACTCTGGTGATAAACCACCTCCACCTGTCACCGAACCCTTTCTCTGCCAGGCAGCAGGTGCTTCTCACACTGGCTCATTAAGTTTACCACAAACCTGCTATTACCCCATTTAACAAAATGGAAAACTGAGGTTTACGAGTCACTTGCCCCCACCCTCAGCTAGAAAGAGGCAGTGGGAGAACTGAACCTAAGCCTCCAGGACACTCCTCTGCCACTGCTGCTGAGCCCCTGACGGTCCCCAGATTCCAGCAGCTGATACTTCAGTCCAGCCCCTTCCCAGGCGACATCTCTGTGGCCCACAGGGACTCGGCAAGTTCGAGGAATGTTCACCCTTTGGCTCGGAAGGATTTTCCCTCCCAGAGGGGGGTTGTGGGAAAAGGCTCAGAAAAAAGTGTATTAAAAACCCTTCCAACTTCCCCAGTGGGCCTTGGCCTCTCACCCGCTGACCCCGGCCCGCCCAGGCGGGCCTCTGCCTGCTCTCCCCACAGTCAGGGCTGTGTCTCCAGCCCCCGCAGGCCCCCGGGAGCCTCCGGAGCTGTTTCCGCTCTGGCAGCCAGGTCAATGATGGGAAATCCAGACACGACTCTCGCCCACAACCCTGGAGACCCACGTGCCCACCGCCCTGGCAGGCGCGCGGAGGCTGGGCTGTGAATGGGGAGGCAGGACGAGCTAGCAGCCCCAGCTGAGCCTGGCAGCTGGCGGTGTCAGGGGATGCTCACCTCCCAGGCCAGGAGGGTACGAGTAAGATCTCAGTATCTCCTGCCTCCAAAGCTGCCAGGACCTCTGCTCTGAAGCCCCCTCCCCAAGCCCAATTTCACTTCCTCCCACTCAGTCCTGCCTGGCCATGCCCCTCCCTGGAGGCCCCCAGCTGCAGGCAATGACCTCCTCACCTACATCATCGCGGCCCGGGAATGGGGAAGAGAAACAGGAGAATGAGGAAACTAAAGAAATCAAGAAGCGGGACAGGCAGGCCGGCCGGCAGGCCCCTCCTCCCCAGTTCCTCAAATGCAGTCCCGGTCATTCCAAAAGCCCCGATGGCCAAAGAGGAAAGGGAGGGAGGGGATTTCTTCACCAGGCATTTAAGGCCTCTGAAATACCCTCCCAGCTTGCGGACCTATAAGTCCAGCGCACCGCATCTCGCTCCCCTTTTCTGGTGGGAGGACTCCCCTGGAGCCCCGGATCCTAGCTGTGAGGGTACTAGCCCATAGAGACCTGGGCTCTGGAACTGCCTTAACTGTTGTGAACCCCCAAATTCAGTGGCATGGGGCCCCTGACCCTGCCTACTCCCACGACGCGAGGGGTGGGGAGAGAGGCTTCCAAAATCGAGGTGTTACCCTCTCAGCCACATGGCCCGACTTGGGAGAGTGGGCAGGGAGCGGTGACTGCAGAGCTCTTCCATTCTCACAGCCTCAGTTTGACTGCTTTCACTTTCAAGGTTCCAAGCGTGATCCCTGACCCTTCCTCGGCAGGCGCAAGTTGAGGGAGACCGCTGCCCCGGATGGGCTGGGTCACTTTAAGAGCCGAACTGGGGGTGTTAGCCCGACCGTCTCTCGGCGCCTCCCCCACTACCTCAGCTACCCCCATTACATCCCCACCACGTGTGTGGGTGGGGGTGTCGCCGGGAGGGCATCGCAGGAGCTGAGGAAGGGTCACCCGGAACACCTCCATCTGAGTTAGCTGCTGGACAACATTTCAGGCTGCTGTGGGAAGGCGCAGACACTGGGCAGAACTGGACACGGGCCTCTTCTTCCCCCATTAAAGCCCTCTCTGTCTCGGAGGAGGGGGGCGCCGGGAAAGGCGGACTTACCTGAGAGAGAGGGGATCCGGGCCCGGCCGGCCCATGGCGTCGCGCGCCCCCGGCCGCCCGAAATCCCGAGGGGG